AAAGACTAGAAAAAAAACTCATCACGTGGATTCGAACGCGTAATTTTCCTTGCCAGCTAATTATATGGTGCTTTCGAAAAAACTATGGTACACCATTAGCTGGCAAAATCTAATCTTAAGGCCATCAACATTCTCCACTTTAGCGAATCCTCTCCTGTATTTAGATTTTAGTCATAGAGGTCCTTAAACCCACGAATTCTCATAAAAATAAAATTTAAAAAATCAAATATTAGTTGTTCTATATATATACCAACTATCAACCAACAATTATAATTATCAACCAGTTACAATTATTAATTATTTTTAATAGTCAAACAAGCTAAGTAATGCAATGTAATATCTTTACTTATATTACTATAAATTCTCTATTATATATAATAATAATAAAATAAATAAATAAAAGAGGGAAGGGGAAAGACGAAAAGGGTATTTTCAAGTAAAGAGGCCCATCCATAAGTGGGACTCAATCACCTTCCCCTGTCTTTCAAAGATAGGGCCAAGGCAGGCCCAAAAAGTTGAATGGACTTGGACTCCACACATAAGCCCATATTTCTTTTTGTTAAAAGTTGGGCTATCATCGGGAAAATCTCTCACACAGTCCCACTTTATCTTCTGGCCCCATTCATCACATGTCCAAACCCTTTAGCCCAACCATGTCAACAAAAATCAGAGATTAAAAGGAGAGACAAATGAGGTGTATAATTTTTCCAAATGAGAGATGATATGTTTGGGACGGAATGAAAATACATTAATTCATTACGTTTCTTTTTCTTTTTTTTTGAGGAAAATTAATTCATTACGTTTCTTAAGTCTATTATTTAACAACTTAATGGTTCAATATGCTAGAAAACAAGTATCGTTTTGTAAGTTCCTAAGGTTTGAAGCCAACATCCAAAAAGAAATTAATTTTCTAAATACACTAAACCTATATGAGATACTATATATGCACCTTTGAGTTTGTACAAAAGCACTTAGATTGGCCAACAAAAATAGTCTATTCTTTGAGGAATTATAAATTTATAATGGTTAGGTAGACATAAACTACTGGCGGTACAATGGAATATGGAGTGGCATGAGGGTGTGAGAAATCATATTAGTTTGTTAAATTTCTTTTACTTGAATTATAATAACTTTGTTTGTGGGTTTGGAGTACCCTTTCTGTTGTTGCTGAATATCTACTCCCTATAATATAATTTTATTTTTTGTTGTTCAAAAAAAAAAAAAGTTTAGGACCGTTAATGGAAAATTCTACACCAATTAAGTTCAGGGCTAAGTAATCTATATGAATTTATAATGTTTATGAAATCTAGGATGGATTGAATATAAAATGAGTCTCTTTACATGTTGATGATTAGTTCTAAGGTGGATGTTAACATGGTACGGTACATCAAAGCTTCATCTCTGTAGTTTACCAAATTATGTTGTCCATGTGTGTTGGGGTTCGACTGTCCCCCCATTTGATTCAACAGAACCCTAGTTTTAAGAGGTTCAGCTTTATGTTCATCAGAGCATGTACTTCTAACTAACTTTTAACTTTTAAGATCTCCTTGAGCCCTCAGTCCTGCATAAAATCTACAGCTGTTAAGGGAAAAAACAAAAAAAACAAAAAAAAAAAAAAGAAAGAAAAAACCTCTGTTCTTCTTCCTTGCCATTTTTCTGCGAAAACTGACCAAACACATGCATGAAAATTTCTTCTAAACAGTTATCGAATCATTACAGTTCCCAATTTTCTAGGAAAATCATTTTTTTTCCCGGAAAAACAGAGTAGGGGTCCATTGGATCCATCCCACTAATCAAAACCAGTTTATGATGAATGGTACAGACAGATTTAACTGTTTCTTCTGTTTTTGCTACTGCAACCAACTAAGCCTATAGGCATCTATCTTAAGTTTTAACCCTTGTTTGTTTGTTTGATTCAACATTATCTTTTGTCGGTCTGGTTTTGGGAGAAGGATGTGACACTGACCCGTCATCCCAGGGAAATAATTGTTCGTGCTTGCTAGCCTGCCTTGGCTTGCTTGGCGTACTCATGTTACGTAGTACCCTAATATAGCTGCTAGGGTTGTGATGGTAGTGGTGGTGATGGTGCTGGCGTACGTTAAAGAATTCAGTGAATAGCTACTAGCTAGGGTGTGGTACGTTTACGTCCGTTGCAGCTTAGGTTTGGGACCACCGCGGGCGATCGAATTGTCGCCTTATTAAACTGATACGTAATTCTGCAGCCACTGTATCTTTACGTTTTATCTTCAATAAGAAAAAAAAAGGGATATAAGTCATGCCATAATTTTTAACTAGAAATGTGCTTAAGGAGATAATTTCTTTAAAAAACTAATCAATATATTATCTAATTTAATACATCTATAAATATTTTTTAATTTAATTATTAAATTTTATAATTAAATTTTTTTTGTTTGAATTTAAATTTAAAAATAATAATTTTTAATAAATATATTATAAAATATATTAAATTAAAAAATATATCAATTATTATCTTTTTTTTTAACAATCAAAAAAATTCATTAATGACTTAAGTGATTTGCTAAAAATAAAATTGATCTTAAATTAAGGAGATAACATATTAATGCGAAAAGGTTATGTATATGTTATGATACATATTTTTGTTCAGCCTTAATTTTTTTTTTTTGAAAAATGTATTTTATTTTAAAAAGTACAAAAAGTACTCAAAGTCATAATACACGTACCTTCAAAATTGAAAAAAAAGGACAAGATAAAACATATCACAGACTTATATAATAAACATCTTCAAATTTAAAAATAAAGATGTTATTTTGTACTCTATTTTGCATAAATTGTATTTTTTCTTAATTATTAATAAATGAATAAGCACTAAATATTAGAGATCCACTATTTCATCAATAATTATAAAAAATACAATTTGTATAAAACAAACTATACTTTACTTTCTTTTTTGGAAATACATACATATGAAGTTTCACCTATGAAAATAAAGAGTGCATTCTTACAATGAAGTAGTCACACAAAAACAAAAATCTAATGCATCCTCACAATGAAGTTGTCCCACGAAAACAAAAAATCAAAACCAACCCCACCTAGGCATTTTATCGAACACATGTTGTGCATATCGAAAAAGATTATAATATTCCAGAATTACTCATCTCAAAACCCAAACAACCAACTTTACACATTCAAAGCACTCCAAGAACGAAGAGATTCACTATTCACCTAAATATCCAACATCCCTAACCTATCAGTATTGATCATAAATATTTTCTTATCTCAATCGTAAAACTATAGCATTCAATTTACCTGGAGCAGGGGGGTGGTGGGGAAAATGCAATAAATGTCAGCCGTTCAATCGTGTACTATAGCATTCAATTTTATCAATTTACGATTGGATGCTACTATGTACTCGAGGAAAATGTACCAACTAAACTTAATTTCTTTTCAAATTAATTAATACAATTTTATTTTACATGTAATTTTAATTAAGATAGTATATTGCCGTTCAATTTTAATAGTTATGGTTTATTTTTTTATTATTTAAATATAAATTTCTTATAAAAATTTATAAAAATGATAATTAAATTTTTTTTCCCAAATAAAAATACCTAACAAAATTATATATAGAAAAAAAATTTTAGAAAAACATTTTCAATTGTTGTCATATAAATTATTACATTTTTATTTAAAATTTATGTCTAAAAAGTTAAAAAAATCAAATTAAAATTACTAAAATTAAATAAAGAAAGTATTATACAATTCAAACGATTTAATATATAAATTATTTGATAGAGCACAAGTTCTTTAATATTAGAGATTATCTCTCCATCAATAGTTCATGTTTTACAATTTCAATTATAAAACAAAAAATTTATTTGTAATAATGTAGAAAGATCAAATAACATACAAAATTCTCATAAAAAGACAAAAGTAAGAGCCTGTTTAGTTAAAAAATAATATATAAAATAATTACCTATTAGCCTAGCGACATTTTAATAGTCTAAAATAATCTTCCCCCTTCTAAAATAAAATAGGTTCTAAAAAGGTGATATATATATATATATATTTGGAGGTAAATAAAGTTTGAACTGTGAAATTTAGAATAAAATGGATTATAAAAGAATCATTTTGAATGGTAAAATGGAATATTATCCTCTGCAAAAACAGAAAAATAAAAACCATAGAAGGAAAAGAAAATCGCA